TCATCTTCTCTTGGAAGCAACAGCCATTTGCTTCTCTTCTCTTCTCTTCTTGCTGGTGCTGGATTCTTTGGAACAAAGGGTTTTACCCATTTCTGAGGAATCCATTGGGAGCCTGAAGGGGTGGATACACATGCTTAGCCACGTCCCCAAGTGACAAGTTCATAGGGGCCCTTGGTTTGCCAAGTTTCAGGGTCCCTGATTAAAACCGGTGGATGCTGTGACAATTTAAACTGATCCCCAGTGTTAAAATGCCGAGTAAATGGAGGATTCATGTTTTCAAATGAGCAGTTTAGGAAGTTAATGGTAAACAGAGCTTTACAGAGTTTCTGTTGTGGAGACATCCACACTGCCTCGCTCCCTTGCTGGGCTAGGTCTTGTTTGCGCGTCTGGTGTGTACGCTCGATTACAGCCTGACCTGTGGGGGAGTGGGGGATGCCAGTTTTATGTTCCACTCCCCACTGCTGGACAAATTCCAGGAACTCCTTGGATTTATATGCTGGGCCATTATCTGTTTTCATTTCCTTAGGGATTCCCAATACAGAAAAGGCCTGTACTAAGTGTTGTTTGGCATGTACAGATTTTTCTCCTGCATGAGCAGAGTACATACTTAAGGCGACCAAAACTGGGAATGTGAATGATATCTGTCTGCCACACCTCACAGCTTCCAAGGCCTCGGGGATTAACCCCGATGCCTAATGATGGCACTGCCTGGAGCTGGCAATTGGGACAGGTAGACACAATGGCTTTAGCCTGACCCCGTGTCAGCTGGAACTGACGAATCAGTCCTGGCACATTTTGATGGTATTGCTGGTGACTTATCTTTGCCTGTTGAAAAACATCTGGGAGACATACCTTTTTGGCTGGGGCAGCAAGGGATTCATCCTTCCAGTTTCCCTCAGCGATTTCACCTGGCAACAGGGTATGCGACCTTATATGCATCACATAGAAAGGATGTTCTCAATTTGAAACCAAATTAATCAGTTTTGAGAGCAATCTAAGGAGATGTTCGTTCTCAGTGTCCTTGAGAACTGCCTGCTCCGCTCTGGACACCACCCCTGCCACGCAGGCTGAGTCAGTAACCAAATTCATCGGTTCTGAAAACTTCTCAAAGGCTCTCATGACCGCAGCCAGTTCAGCTATCTGGGGTGACCCTTCTACAAACTCAGCATCAGCTCTGACCTTGTCCTTCTGTCTGCCTTGTATCTGAAGTTCACTGTGAAAGAGTGCATGTTCTGTTATTAACTCCTTGCCTTTCCATAGGGCTCAAGCTGTATTTGGGGGTGTGGCCCCAAACCTAAACCGCTACAGCAGCTTGAACTACTGTAGATGTTACCACTGAAGAACCTCCACAGTGAGGAACAAGTCACTGTGCTGGGGACAAATTAACCCTTACTGTTCTCTTTGATGCCAGGCTCTGAGCTGGTAGGTCTCTTCCAACCTAGTCATTCTGTTGAATTCTGTTGTTGAACAAGTCAGGAGGCCTTCCCAGACAGAAGGAGTTTCTGTTCCTTCATTACGGCCTCTTTCTGCAGCCAGCCTATGTTACATGAGTGGCTGAGGGGAAAGATTGGCTTTATGTATGTCTTGGTTTGAAAATATAGGTGTCTGCTAAGGAAGGCAGAAACCTCCCTGGTAATGGAAAAATGTAAACCACCCCCCTTCTTCCAAATTATTACAATCCTGAAATAAAGTGGCTCTCAGGCAAAGATATGGGAATGGGAATAACATTTCTTTACTAGGAAAATTAAAATAGAAATGCAGTAGTACAAAAAAGAAAACCAACAGAAAACCAACCCACTGACAGAGTCAGAATACAACCTGTTAGTCAGGCTGTTGATAGCAGTCCAATTAAATGGTGGGTACAGTCCTCTTGGAGTGACAGATGTGGTTCTCTTGAAGCAATGATCCCATAGGAGGGTGTAGTTCCACTCAGAAGGTCTGGTGATGTAGATGGGTCCAGTCTTTCTGCTCTGGGAATTCAGTGGAGAAAGGCTGAATTCAGTGTTCCAGGTTTCCATAGATATACATGTTAAGATGCTTGGCTCCTCTCCCTGGGAGGAGCATCTCACAATGGGATGGTGTAATTTTATCAGTCATGTAATGAGACTCAATGGTCCATTAACAGCAGACACACCCCTTGAGCGAGGGTGGGTTGTGGAAGAGATAAAGAACACCGCCCCACCTGGTTTTAACAGCTGGCCCATTAACAGAAGATATCCCCCAGTTATGAGGGATGGGTCATGAAAGAGATAAAGAAAACTACCCCACCTGGTTTCAACAGATAGTAATAGAATACATACTTTTGGTTACATCTTTCATTGAAACCCAAGACAATGTAATTGCAATTAACCTTCATCCTTTCTGCTTGTGATCAGCCGTAGGTCTGCTTCCCACGTGGCTTAGACTGTTTCCATATTTTCTCAGCGCATGCCGAATTCTGCACTACAGTTCATCCCCAGGTTTTCTGGTCCAGAGTGAGCACACTGAAATAAAGCACTTCCTGCTGAGCAGGATGACACCACCTCCCATTACACCTGAGTGTTGAAGTCTGGAAGAGGCATCTCTTTTCCCATTCTTTCTCTCTGACATTATGTCATGGACATGAGCTGTATGACCCTGAAGAGCTGGGGCTAGTTGCCATGAAGCCTTTCAGAGCAATTTGCCCCCCTCTAAAAAGCTGGCAATCTCATCACTTCATTTTTGTACTCTGGTCAGTTAGTTTAGTTGCTGTAGGTCGTTGAACAAATCCATTGAACAGATGGATTCCTGAGGTACAAAAAATATCAGGGGACTGTCCAGCACTGCCCAGGCACACTGGCATTACACCCTTCAAATCAATTACAGCCAACCTTTGCTCCAAGTCTCCAGAGACATGAGGTGTAATCAGCCTGCAGGGGTCACATTCCTGCCAGCCAGACTCAGTGCTGCACATAGCTGTGATTTTCACAGAGAACAGCTTGGCAGAGGAAAGAAAGAGGAACTGCAGCAGCCAAAATGCACCACAGACAGAATGTGATAAAGGTTTCTGGCTTGCTCTGCTCTTCTCCAGATTACTGCAGGCATCAGCAGCTGCGTTTGGGTCGGCACTTTCTGTGCTACGAAATAGTAAGAGAATGCAGGTATTAAAACTTCTTTTCTTAATGGAGAAAAATACCTTTGTATATATGCACTTCCTGGAGATCGAAATAGTTTTGTGTAGCCCTTGAGCTTTTTCTGAAATGTCTTGGTTCTTGGCTTGTACTTACATGATAAGGAGCATAAGTCAGACTGCCTGACACTTAAATTTTCTCTAATTATTGTAAAGGCTGGGTAATAATACTCACTGCACTCACTGTAATTTGCACAGCACATCAGAAATTTGCTATTTAAAGCAAGCTGTGTAAAAAAAAATTAAAATTTTGACAAAGTGCTGTATATAAAACAAGATTCATCTCTGTCATAACTTCAGTTTCACCAGGCTAAAAAATACCCTTCTGCCTTTTTCCTGAACTTGCTTGTGCACTGACTAATGTAGGCGAGAAGTTCCTGATGGCTGTGGAAAACCATGGATTTGAAATATTACCAGAGGGATAAAGAAAATAAAAGAGAAGTCTCTGTGCTCTCTCCTTTTAAACACACTTAGCATGGGGAGAAAACTGTCACACCATTGAAAAGACAGGGGCCAGTCCTGCAGCCTAAAACCAGAGGAAGGCAGCCTCCTTCTTTGGCCACCACTGTTTTTTTAAATCCATTATCACATACCAGTTCATCAATAATAAATAAAAATAAATGTACATGAAGAACAGTAATACATTCAGCCTCCAGAATCATCTTACTGTGTGATGCTCCATGCTGACCTTGGGGAAGGATGGTGAGGAGGAACAGCTCTGCAGTCCTGCAGCCCCTCCAGGCTGTTGCCCACGGGCAGGGGTTTTCCCATCAGTACCCCAGCGAGGGATCTGCACCACAGTGACACAAACCATGTCTCTGACCGACTGGTACAGACAAGCCCCACTCAACATTTGTACAACAAATCAAATTTAGTTATAGTTTTATTTTGTGTTAATGTGGGTATATGCTGCATTATTTTAAGTCACTCATATTTTTCGTGTCTCAGAATAGAGCAGCCTTTTAATCTTCTTTTTAACTCAGTATAGATAAGCAGTGAAGATGTTATAATCATGGTTGTGCCAGCTCTTAAGATTTTATCACTGCTTTCCTAAGATGATTTCCCTGGAGCTCCAGTTCCATATTTAAATACATAACAATCTCAGATAATTTATAATTTAATGATTTTTGCTTACAGAGCTACAGAAGGGAGAAAGCAAAACTGCATGACCCTCAACATCTTCCTAAATCAGAAATCAGTATTTATTTGTTCTGCATTTTTGTGATACTTTAATCAGCCTTAGTGATGAGAAGGGGAAGAGGAGAGCTGATTTAATCTTTCAGAACACTTGGGTTTGGTAATTTTGCAAACCTGCTGTTCTGTACCTTTGTCATGTAAGCATTACATGCATCTGAAATATCCTCACATGTTCATAGCAGCTGTAGCAGGTATTGATAACACTCAAGAGGAGTCAGTGAAGGATGTGACAACTGCATTATTTATTTAGAGATGCTTCACGACCCTGGAGAAGTTCCTGCATTCTAGTGAATACTTCATCTTAGAAGATTGTGTGGTTATGTGCTCCTGGTCACATGAGCTGAATTGCAAGTGTCGTCCAGAGCAAAGCATTGAATTACTTCCAAAAGTGCATGCCAAATACTGCTAGGTAGGATTGTAAATTTTCAACATCAAGGTGGTGAATAGTCAAAATTTAAAAGGTACTTAATTCTAGGTAGTTACGTTAGAAAAGAGAAGTATTGTGTCTCAGCACTACACTGCTCTTTCAGGTTCAGAGATCTCATTTATTTGTTAAAATTTGTTAAAAGTACTACTCGTTATGTTTCTTCCTCTCAGGTATAGTGATATTTTCTAAACCTGTTTGAATAATCACTATTTTTTCCTTTCCTCACAGGAGTGTTTGCATTTGGACTTTTTTCCACTGACATCTTTGTAAATGCTGGCCAGGTTGTGACTGGGAACTTGGCTCCTTACTTCCTGACTGTGTGCAAACCCAACTACACTGGAAACGACTGTCGGGCCCACCACCAGTTCATAAACAATGGCAACATCTGCACTGGGGATGTGGAGGTGATTGAAAAGGCCAGGAGATCCTTTCCATCCAAACATGCTGCTTTGAGCATCTACTCAGCTTTATATGCCACGGTGGGTGCCAGAGTTGACTGCTGACTTGCATGAGAGGTTTTTGCATGTGCGTCTAGATGGGGCATTTTTCTTACAAGAGATTTTTGGAGAAAAAGAGGGACATTTTGGGGGCAGCTTTTTTCCTTATCAGTATGGGAAGATCCCCTTCTCTCTCCATTTTACCAGTCCTGGTATAAGCAAATGAAATGCTCATTGCTCTTGAGGCACTACATGTAGAGGCATGAGGTCGTAAACTTGTCTTTGCTGCTGATTTTGTCATTCAATCTTCTCCCCGCCCCTGTCTTATGAGCATTAAAATGAACTGATTGATAAACAGCTTCTAGATTGCTGCATTTGTTCATATGGTATGTGTTGTTGAATATTTAAAATTTAAATTGTGCCTTTCAATAGGGGTCTGAACTTAGGCTGAATTTCGCTTCCCTTGTTTAGGACCTGAACTTACATTGCAAAGAGGGTTCTAATAAAAGTCAGTGTGAGAATTCTGTTGTTACCACAGAGAAATATACCCTATCTGACACACTTACAAGGTGACACTACCATGCAGTCAGGAAGGAAATTATAAAGTCTGATGAAACAGATCAACTGCTCCTTTGTATTTCCTGGCTAAGGTTTCTGAGATTCTTGAAAATTGATCCAAGAATCTTACTAATAAAGCAGAAAGCCTTGGTGGTTTTGCCATAAAGATCCAAGGACTTAACCTGGTTCTGATCTCAAAATGCATTAACTTAGGTCTTTTCTCTCCCTATAGCTTGCCTCAGAGTAGTGTCAGTCTGTCTGTTGGTCATCAGTGTTATAAATGAAATAGAGCCAAATTTATCAATAATAAATTTATTGAAAAATTTGAAAAATTGAGTTATGGAAACAACCACAATCACAGTTAAGGTTGAAGCATTGAGCCCGGGATCGGTGCTGGGTGAACTTTGAATCAGTCTGTACCACCCTGATTCTCACAAATTCACTGCCTGTCCTTTGGAGGAGTGAGTTTTTATACAGTTTCTACAGCCTGAGGCTGTACAGTTCTTTCTTCCAGGGTTTGTTGTATATTCATATTTACTGTAGGTTTGTTAACTAGATTTCTGAGGAGGGAGGAAAGGTTAGAGTGGTTTTACAGGAACTGAGTTTTGAGATGCATGATCTGGAGATATTTTCTGTTTGCTTTGTTAACGAAGTCTCACAGAAGGGGGAGAGTTACAGGAACTGAGTATTGAAATGCATGGTCTGGAGAATCAGATCAGTTCAGAATCAGGTGTAAATCACTGAGTTTTTAGTATACCGATCTTGCTTGGGTGGGCTTTGTTCTCCTTGGTGCAGTTCTGTTATTTTGCGAATTACCCTTCTCCAGTTCCTGGCTGTCGTGTTGCAACTCCTTGCTATGCATGTGTGTTTGATACTTGTAACCAGTTTTTATTTCTTCTCACTGCTTATATACATATACAATAAAACACAAATTATACAACCATATATTACAATCAGTATGCAAGAAAAGCCTTAAAGTTATTAAAGACAGGGTATTTACTGAGTATTTTGCTCTGTGTTCTTGTTAGCACATGAATGAAACACCACATTATTTCTAAAAATGAAGAGTTCACCCACTGTTGTTTCAATATCCATCTGTTTGCACTGAATGTTGTGTGAATTATGATGAAGAAATAAACTGTAACTCCTTTGATCACAATTGTTGGGAACTGTTTGGAAATCCTGTAACATTTCGTGCACATTACTTCTGTACAATGTGCGACCATGTGTGAAATACAGCTCACAATATACTCAATATGGTTGTAGCAGCTGTTTGCACCATGATAAACCCTTAGGTGGTCAGGCTTAGTCCTGGTTCTCTCCTCAGCTAAATATATACTATCATGGACTTTCCCTGCCCAGCCTCCCGTGTTTCCTAGGAAGGCAATTTTTTTACAACAGGCTGATTTCTACAGCTGAAGGGTAATACTCTTTTTCCTTCCTGAGCCTAAGGCCCAAGTAGTTCAGTATTTCTGAGCTCTGTTTTTCCAGGAGTGTCTGCTATGGGCCTGCACTTCCCACATAGGAAGATGTCAGATGAAGCCAGGACATGGAACTCTTTCTGAGCCACCAGGTCCTGAGTTTGCCCTTAAAGCATTTCAGCCCACAGTCCAATATCAGCCCAGTTCTCTGCCTGAAGTAACCTTCTAGAACTAAAGATGTTGTCACTCGCTTTGTCTGTCAGCTGGGAATAACACAAGCATTAGACAAGAAGTGTATTGTTCATATCCAGCTTTGCTTAATAACTGTTCTGTGCACAATTTTTTGAGAAGTCTCTTGCTGGTTCTAATACACATGATAATGTGGCCTACTGAAATAAAGCACAAGTTATTTGTTTAGTAATACCTGTGTTTTGCATAAAGCTGAAGAATTGAGACGTGGAGCAAGAAAAATAGAACATGTACAACATAAGGAGGCCAGAGAATGGAATGAGCACAGACATGGTTCTTGTTTTTGTCAGGAAAATGAATCCACAAACACCAGAGGTTTATGTCCAAAAAGGAGACAGAGGAGTCCTTTTACTTTATTCAAATAAAGGGAGAGGCCATGGGGCATTCCCCTGGGGTCTCTCAAATTTCTGGAGGGTGCAGCCTCCTTTTTATCCTAATTTCCCAGCCATATGTCTCTTTCTCTCTTTCCTCATAGGCTGAGGTACTTGAAGTACTTAATACTTCCCAGAATGCCTGATACATGAGATACCTGAATTTTCCAAATGCATATCCAACCCCATATGCATATTTAGAATCAGTAAAAACATTTACTGTCTTGTTTCGATATAATTCATAGGCTTTCACAAGCACACACAGCTCTGCAGTCTGAGCTGACCAGGTGGGTGGTAACTTCCCGCCTTCTTTTAATTGCTTTCCATTCAGGACAGAGTATCCTGTGAATTGCTTTCTTTCTATCACCCTTGAAGACCCATCAATAAACACGTTTTCTCTCTCAGGCCATGGAATGTCTTGTAGATCTTCTGTCACCCTGGTCTGCAGATCTATTACCTGAATGCAGTCGTGGAATTTGCCTTGGCTCCCCTCTTCAGGGCATTTCAAACAGGAGGCTGGTTAAAACCTTCCCTGCTTTTAAATTCTAAATCCTCCTGTTCCATTAAACAAACTCATACTGTAATAACCAGTGTTATTATATTATATGATTAAGTGGGTGCTGGTCACCCACTTAGAGGCTCTCTCAGTTAACAAAGCTTTAATCTGATGTGAAACTTTAACAATCAGTACCCTCTCCTTTGTCAGCTTTCGAGCTTCAGCCATCATCAGAACAGTGGCTTCACAGGTCTGCAGACAATGGGGCCAGCCTCTGGCTATCAGGTTTATCAGTTTAAAAAGGTAGGCAACAGACTTCGTTCCCTCATGCTCTTGCACTAAAATGCCTTTAGCAGGACTTTGTTTAATATCCACATACTGCAACAACTCTTGAGGATGGAGTCAACTCTCCTAATATTTTCTGCAGAGTTTGCCCAAACAAAACAGCTGACTCTGTATAAACATGATTTAGTTCAGCAGCAAGCAATGTCACGGCCCTAAGCTAATCACATCACATTTTTTTATTTAGTAACCAATTGCTCCCTATACAATTTTTTGCATCAAGTCTATCTTATGCATAGGGAGGTGACTAACAAGTTAACCTTTAAAAGGAAATCTTAATATTTATAACATTTTATAACCTTTAACATTTATAACTTTTATTGAGGAAAGATAATAAAATACTTTCCTTTAAAGTTTTCTTATAGCCTCCACAGAGGAAGTGCATGACAAATATTTAGGCTTCCATAGGACACCATCCCCACAAGGCTGCAGGTGCAGAATTTGCCTTAGGATTAGAGCTTGCCAATTCTAGCTCTCCACAACAAACCACAGACTGGTGGGGGGGTTCCCCACAAGGTACGAGTTGCAGAATTAGCTTCATAACTGAAACTTGCCAATTCTGGCTTTTTACAACAAAACACACAAAAAGCAGAGGGGTGTAGTCCTCTCAAAACTGGAACCTTTCAGCTCTGCAAAAGCCTCATGAAGACAAATGAATTAAAATCCTCAAATCCATTTACTACAATTTCTACAATTCTTTCAGAGAAAAATGTGCTCAAACTTCTGACCCTGCAGAAGAAACCACAATTTTCACAACTCTTTTGAACAACCAAATTCTTTGGACAATTCTTCCCCCCTCGGGGATAAAAATTAAGGTGGATCGAGAGGTCCTTGTTTTTACTAAGACACACACCCCTCTTGGGGGTGGGGGCCCAAGGGGTCGCTTGTTCCCACACTGGTAGCTGCAAGGAGGAGGCAAAATCCAGCTTTGCACCACATACTGCAGAGCTGGGGCTTCCATCCTCATGAGAGTAGCCAGGAAGCCTATTGTTTTGGCTCCTTGTCTAGGGTGGTCAGTCTTTTCCAGTCCTCTTAGGTCATGGTGATGCGGAGAGATGGTTTCTAAGCAGGCTTAGGTGATGCAGGAAGACAATCTTTCATCATAGCTTGCTTCAATATGTTTCTTTGTCTTTTTATTCCTTTGTTAGCTCCTTGTTTTGGTGTCTTGCATGCCCTAGTTTGCATATTACTCAGGCGCACATCCCCCTGGGAGTTGCTTTGTTACATAGTAACAGAGAAGGGAAAGGGGTAGAGGTATGTTATATCAGAACTCTTAAAACACTTCAACCACCGGTAAGTAATTAACATTACTAACAACTATCAGAGTAAACAAGGGGTACAACAAACAAGGTTTACAAATGGGAAAAGAACATTAACTGTACATAACTTAACACAGTATTTTAACTTGGGTGGATTTCGTGAGAGATTTTATTCATGACACAGACCCACTTTAAAAGCTAACAAAGGCTCCAGGTTGGTGGGTTCCTGGTACAATGAGAGCCTTTGGCACCCCTAATAGTCCATTTCCCTTATCTTCTGGACTTTCTTGAGAGTTCAGCTGTTTTTGCAGACATTGCCATTTTCAGTGTCCCTCTGCCCTGCAGA